TCGGCCGCGCAGAAGCCCGGCAGAGGCACGGAGGGCCGCGGGCGCAGAAGGAAGCGCCTCCCGCGCCTGCGACGCCGAGGTCGGAGGGCAATGGCTCTTGGAGGGCAGCGGCCGTCACCGCCGCTTCCAAAACCACTAGAGAGAATGAAAAGCAGAGGACCGGGAATCTGGGTGTTGCGTTTTTCAGGAGTGCTGAATAAACATGGGAATGTGTATTTAAAGAAATTACCCAGCTTAAATAAACAACTGGGAAAACGTGTCGGGTAATTGGATTTTCATAATCACCAGCTATGGCTTAATTTTAGGGTCGGGGAAGACCTGGAAATGACCTCACTAATGATTAATAGGCTTTAGTAACCTGGTGGCCCTCCGAGGTGGACAGGTGGAGCTTCCTTTTGAGAGTTTTCAAACAAACATTGCATTAGTCTTTTTTTTTCTTTTTTTTTTATGACGGCCTATAATAAAATCTGCTTCTATAAATGTATTCTTAAAAATACTCCAGTGGATTCTCAACAGTGGACTTGTTCTTATTACCCAACTGAAAAGAGGGCTGTAAGCATGTAGTAAGGCCCCCCTCTGGGATACTAGACAATACACAGACACAAGTGGTTTCCTGATTGCACTTATTCACGTACCCAGTGATGAGGTGGCCGTCCCAGCTGGTGAAGCTTCAGAAGAGTTAGTCTCATGCTGATTTTAATGTAATGTTGTCACGAATGTTTACAAGTCCTCAGATTTCTCACATGATGCTCTTCCTCATCGAGACACAACCTCGAGGGGACGCTGGAGGAGGTGCATCATAACAAAATCTTCTCTAATTTGGCCTAAACTATTAACATGTGGAACATAAAGAAGATAAATTTATTTAGAAGGTAAAAAAGGGTTCTAAATATTCAGAAATAAGGGTAAACCCATGTGCATGGCTCCTTCACTCTAATTTGAAATGCAAAGATACCCGTGTCTAGTCAGGAAATTATATATATCTCTCCAAGAAAAATTAGTTGTCTGACCTGAAGTGACACTGGTCTGATTGTGATTTCTTTATTCAAAACCTACTGGAGACACAGGATAGTTACCAAAAATGGGCTTTGTTTTAGGTGGTACCTCCTTGTTGCTCTGTGGCCAGCCTTGTGCAGCCCTTCCAATATGGTGGGAAAAGGTGGGCTCACTACCTAACCTCTTTCCAACCAGGTAGTAAAAAAGAAAAGAATTCTTGCTTTCTACTCTCTTCTACAAAAAGTGAAGAATTTAACTGTTTGAGGAACATAGAGAATCCAAGGACCTGAGACTATAAGCACCTTCTATCAGGACATACAAGCATATGATGGGTTCAGGCCCTCCCTCATGTTTCAGGACAAGGCAATATGTCCTCTTTCCAGCCCTATTCCTCAGCATGGTCTTGAATGCAATAAAGAAGTCTGTGTGATTAATGTTAATATTGACAGTAGTTACCATTGCTAATGTAAACATTATTAAAATCTTTTTATTAACTGAAGCATACTTCTTCAAAAGTGTTCTTTGAGTTGCCCATTTTTATGGAAGTACTACCTTTAGAACTATTATCTATTGTATACCCTCTAATGGACTTTCTAACAAAAACACTATCCCTTAGGCAGTTATTTTAGCCCTATATTCAGGTTTTATTCAATGTGTAGCTTTTAATGTGTTAAATATGCAGCTAAAAACTATTTCTTCTTTCCAGAGTAAGTTATTTGATCCTCAACACCGGTATTCATCAATAATCCCCATAAATGGTAAAAGCTGTAAACTCGAAGTTATAATTAGATCAGGTATATTTTTTGTTGTTGTTAAAAAGGAAATAGCCTTTTTGCCAAGACTGTCAGTAATAGCAATGTAAAGGCCAAAGAAAATACTAACATTTTCACTGTACTTTGTTACCGAACAATGTGAATACTTTTCCTCTATATTAGGAAATCTCAGTAGGCTCTCCCAGAAGTATGTCTGGGTCTAAATCATTACCCATTTCTCAACCAAAGGTAGCCTAAACAGTTTTGGAGAGGTTCACTGCATGCCTCTTCTGTGGGTTTCTGGATGGTTTTCAAAAGATTGGATTTGTGATACACGCCCTCAGAGCCACCTGTTTCAGGGACTGCCTTTTTCCACGGAATAAATTGCTAGTCGTGGTCAGAAAAGGTGCTTTTGCAGGAGGGTTTTTGTGAGACAGTGGTTTGGCAGGATGTTTTCCTTGAAAAGCAGCATGGAGCTGGAGGACTGGCTTGCCCCAGGGAGCTGGGTTGGGTACGTGAGCCAGGACCTCATGCAGGGTCCGGCAGAGAGCGGCCACCACAGCCGGCTCACGGCGCGCCCACCTCCCAGGCTGTCACGGCTCTGGATTTGGGTATGAGCACTGGTACCGCCAACTGGGTCTTCGGTACGATGCAGGGTGTGCAGCGAGCCACAGAGAACTACTGGTTCTCTGCCTCTGCAGAAATGACTTACTAGTCATTTCTGCTCAGGATGCGACTTCACTTCTGCCTGTCTCCTAGCAAAATTAGCAGAATCATACCCCGCCTACCTCCCTCTGCCAACAGAAATTGTCCTCATCTACCCCCGGAGGCAGCCAGCTGCCCGCGGCCGCCTCGGCTCCGCTTCCCTCTCCCGCCTCTGCTTCCGTCCCGGCGGCCGCCCCGGCCCGGCTCCCCCCCCCCGCCTCTGCTTCCGTCGCTGACTCACTGTTACCATCTGCAGGCCTGGGCAGACAAGTTATTGCTGTCACCCACCCATCACCTAAGCTGAAATAGGCTTATGGACACTAGGGGACAATGTGAGATTCACCAGGTGGTCTTGTCTCTTGGCCATTGTTGCTTTGTGTTCTGCTAAGTGGCAAGTGACTGAAGTCATTTCTCTTCAGGCAAACTGACATGATAGCAATGGTTTAATTTAAAATAAACCTACTGAAGGATCTGCTGACATGTCTAAGAGGAAGGGGAGTGCATCAAAGTTGTGTCAGAACAGAAAAAAAGTGTTATGTTCATACGGTTACAAACAAAGAGGAAAACAATAAACCCTAAGAGTACTTATTCTGGTGAAGAGAACAGCAACACCAGCGCTTAGTAAGGAGTCACAGTGTCTGAAAAGACAAGTAATTTGCTCAAACGTGTGCATACAAATACCTATATCTCACTGATAAATAATGAAAGGGCAGTAAAAAGCAAGTATTAACACAAGCAACTTTTGCTGCAGACTAGAGGAAAGCATTCCTCCAATATGAATAACACTTTCCTCACAGATTAATGGTTGGACTTGATGATCTTGAAGGTCTTTTCCAACCTTAGTGATTCTGTGATTCTGTGTATGATATTTATAACAATATGTGATATTGTTTTAAAAGGTACAGTTGTATCTTAACAACATCCCAGTGCCCAGAGCAGTGTGCAGTCACACTCACCCAGTGGGATTTCTCCTGCCAATACAAAATGCACCCAACCACGCAGAGTTCTAGCAGGGAAACTGGAGTCACCAGATAATGGATTAACCAGTAAAAGGTTAATCACTGGCATATGTGATTTTAAAAATGGGCAAGGTGTAGAGCTGTATGCTGATCTGGCAGGACGACTATTAGAAGAGACTTGAGACAGATATCTTCCATTGTGGTTGTATATATCTGAGCATGGTAGTGCAACTAAATGCTTAAAGAGTTCCCCTGTAAGCATACATTAACGGAGAGACGATAACGTGCAGAGGTAGGAATGAAATTTGCGTTGTCATATCTCTATACGTACATAGCTGCTTGGTAAATGTTAGCGGCATTTACACTGAGCTGGGCATCAACCGTAGCCCAGTTCAGACAGGTGAATCTTACAGTCTTAGAGTACTGATTTCTGATTAGTAAACACAACAATTTTTATTAATGCCTACAAGTGCATGCTTATTCATCACAATTCACAGAGCATGGATTTATTGCAATCTATGCCTTAAGTTAAGATGTAGTTAACATTTGATCAATGGGTTGAAACTATGAAAACAGACAGTTTTCTTAAGTGCTGTATGCAGAAAGCGACAAAAAGAGTAATGCTCATACCAGGCACACAGAAGGGTGCTTTATTTGTATTTTCATGGCTAAAAGGTGGTGTTGAATCCAACTTAATTTTCCTATAGAAATGTGAAATGTTGATGAATTTGATTGTCATGCAATAGATGTTTGGCATTTCTGAATAACCCCTCTAAGTTTGTGACCATTCCTCCTCCATTATGTATATTTAATTTGAGTAGATTCTTCAACTGACATAACTTAAGCTGACATAACCGTGATTTATTTCCAGGTTGTTATATGTATCAATTAGAAATATATCCTCTTTTTTTTCTGTGAAACATTTCTTCCTTACTAAGATATCACTTTCACATTTGACATCCATAACAATTAAGTAGCATATACAGAGCAGTTTCTGCTTCTAAGAGTAATCCAAAAAGTAGCTCCCTAGCACACTGTTCTTGCAGCATTGGTTGTTAGATTCAAGAGGTAGGATGATATGTAAAATCTTGGTTTTCTGGCCACCCAGTGCTTCCAATGAAATCAGTCTTGCAGTATCTGCCACTAACAATACAGAAAGTCGAGGTGCATAAATAACTCACAATCAGCTGCATGAGTATGGAACTTACAGTAACACAGGTCTGATATAACTGTTTTAATTATTTTCTAATGCAGACGAGGATCCAATGTCTCTCTGACTTTGGATATGAGCAGTTTGGGAAGTGTTGAACCTTTCGTTGCTGTGCCAACCCCACGAGAAAAAGTAGCGATGGAATACCTACAGTCAGCCGGCCGGGTCCTGACACGGCAGCAGCTTCGAGAAGCAGTTGCATGTTCTCATTTACTTCAAACAGAATTCATGGTGAGTTTAACAACAAGCTTTAAATGAGAATTTTTGACATAATTGGCATAACAGAAACTGGGGGGGAAAAATAATTGGGCAACACTAATGTCAAGGTATAAATCATTTCCGAAGGGCAGATTCATCAAGTTTGCACACAACACCAAGTTGAGTGATGTGGTTGACATGCCTGAAGGATGGGATGCCATCCAGAGGGACCTGGATAAGCTTGAGGAATGGGCCAATGTGAACCTCATGAGGTTCAACAAGGTCAAGTGCAAGGTCCTGCACCTGGGTCGGGGCAACCCCTGTGATAAGTACAGGCTGGGGAATGAAGGGGTTGAGAGCAGCCCTGCCAAGAAGGGCCTGGGGGCACTGGTGGATGAGAAGTTGGACGTGAGCCAGCAATGTGTGCTGGCAACCCAGAAGGCCAACTGTATCCTGGCCTGCATCCAAAGCAGCGTGGCCAGCAGGTCGTGGGAATTGGTTCTGTCCCTCTACTCCACTCTGGTGAGACCCCACCTGGAGTCCTGCGTCCAGCTCTGGAGCCCTCAGCACAGCAAAGACATGGGCCTGTTGGAGCGGGTCCACAGGAGGGCCACAAAAATGATCAGAGGGATGGAACACCTCTCCTATGAGGACAGGCTGAGAGAGTTGGGGTTGTTCAGCCTGGAGAAGAGAAGGCTCCAGGGAGACCTTATTGCAGCCTTTCAGAGCTTCAAGGGGGCCTATAAGAAAGATGGGGACAGACTTTTTAGCAGGGCCTGTAATGATAGGACAAGGGATAATGGTTTTAAAGGTCTCTTCCAATCCAAACTATTCTATGATTCTATGATTAGGTAGTTTCAAGGTGCTGTTTTATGTTCATGCACTAAAGAGAGATGTCAGTCAGTTATATCCATGGATAATACAGTTTCCTCTTGAAGTCCCAGTCATCAATGGGATAAATGTCATATTAGAGCTACAGGACTGTAATGTTGTGACAGTTTCAAAGAGATCATAAAGGTTATGATGACAGAAAACACAGTAATAATTGGAGATTTTGTTTATTCCCATGTAAACATCACGTATTCCTGCAGTTTGAAGAATAAATTTTTAGTCATTATAAATGACTTTTTGTAGCAGGCAGGGACACCCACAATCAGTCAGTTCAAAATATCTTTAACAAGCACTCCGTACAGCAAGTCTAATATACTCAAGATGAAAAAACCTGAAGTGTCCTACAAGTGTATTTAATATTGAAAAGGGCAAGAATCTGAAATGAAGACAGTGGCCAGGTAGAAAAAAGTCAGAGCAGAAAAATTCACTCAGGAAGAACATGTTATTACATACTACTTTAAGAAGACCTGAAAAAAACTGGTATTGCAAAACAGCCAGATTAAAGAGGCTATCAGAAATAAGGAGACAAGCATTACAAAAGAAATAGAACAGAGCATAAACTGAAGCCAGTTGAATGTGAAACCTGAATAAGGCAGGCCAAAAAAAGGTTTTTAAGTAAAAAAAAAAAAAAATCGTAACTTCAATTTTATATAGATCAAAAGCATGAAGCTTACCAAAGAGTACAAGGATCAATAGATGATCAAAAAGGTAGAAAAGGGATTTGGAGAAGTTGAAACAATAGGAGAGAAGTGACTGCATTCTTCGCATCTGTGTTGACCATAGAAGAACTTAGGGAATTTCCTACATCTGTGGCAGGAGTACATTCAAACAGGTCACTGGAGAATCTGTCTGATATTGAAGCGTTAAAGGAAGAGATTCTAGAACAAATCAATAAAATTAATAAATGCTACTCACTGGAATAAGCTAGTATTCACCTAGGAATCCTAAAGAAGTTCATATATTCAATTATTGATGTATTATCTGGACAGGTGTAACCTAGCATTTGGGCCCCAGCAGCTGAGGAATCAGGCGACCAGAGGTAACAGGAGTTTTTCAGAAGGACTCCATAAGAGATCCAGAGAACTGCAGGCCTAGAAATCTGATGTCTAAATCAGAGAAATTGGAAGGAATTATAATAAAGGAAAGAAGCCAATAGATATATGAACAAATGCAATACAGTGGGGAATAATCAACATAGTGTAGCAATGGAAGGATTGGTTTCTTCTCAGGGTAAAAGGAGGTCGCCAGTGGAGTCCCAGAGGCATCTATTCTGGAGCTGATACTGACCAAAATTTTCTTAAGTCATCTGGAAAAGGCATTAAATAGTAAGGTGGCGAAGTTTGATGATGACACTGAATTACCAAGGGTAGTAAAATTAAAAATAGATGTCAAAGAAATTACAGGAGGATTTTATAATGGTGATGAGGCAGAGGAAATTCAGGGTTGATAAATAAAATGTTATGCATTTGGGAGAAAATACTTTTGTCTGCTTTGATGGGTTCTGAAATACAAAGCTAAGAATCTTGGGAAAAAAACTAGAGAATAATCTAGAAAACATCGTTATGACATTGGAAAAATCTATAATGCATTCACAACTGCATGCTGCTCTGTTCTCTCTCGAAGCACGTACAGAAGTATGGCAAACATAATCACAGACTAGAGCAGCTTCTGTATCGGGAGATACTAATAGACAAGGATTCTTTTGCCTAGAAAAGAGACTGTGAAAGGCTCTAACAAGCCTATAAACTCATGATAGCAAGGAGAAGGTGGATATGGAGTGATTATTCAATGATTTTTCATGCTAAAAGAACAGTATCAGGTGACCAATGCAATGCAAAGAAAATCTTGTCCCATGCTAGTTCCCTCAGATGCCTCACTACCAACTGCTGTCGGAGGGTACCAGAGAGGAGGAACCTAACACAACCAACCACCCAGCCTATCCTTAGCCTAACTTTTTTATCTTTCACAAGTCATTAGCAAACTAAACTAAACAAGCAAAGCTTTTTAAAACTGGTTTAATAGCTCAAATTTAATAAACCCACACAGAAATATGTATCTTAACAAGGCACGTAAGAGCAGGAAGACCTATACAACCGCTTGAGCATATTACAGGTCTAACAAAGACATACAAACAATTCAGTTCTTATTAAACATGCCAGAGCACGTGATCCCTTGGGTTTCATTTTGGTTTCAATTTGTGCATGTAAGTCAATTGAATAGATGATGAGTGCCATCTTGCTCTAAAACTATGAATGCATTATGAATAATTGTGTCCTACAAAGCAGTCCTTTTATGCACCTTTAAAAAGCCAGGGTGTATAGTAAAAGTCATTTGCTTAAGAAAAATAATTCCCTCTGTTGTTTTACCAAAAATTGGTCTGACAGTGTACATGGAAAAAATTATAAACATCCAACATACTTCTATCACCAGTTATGCCATCGGGTCTCTGCCATTCTGCTGCTTAGGCGGGAAAGCTAGGAGAAATAACTTCATCGTGCTTAAACCCCCCATGCTAGAAGACACTTTGTACAGTCAACTTGGCACCTCTGTAGATTTCTATTTACCCAAATCCTCTCACACAGCATCTGTGCACAACTTTGGGGCAATAGACACTCACATTTTATTTGTCCCTTGCGGGGCACAACATGACTTTGGCCATAGAGTGTTTCCACAGAATTTTATTGAAAAGATCATGACTTGTCTATTCCATTTTTAAACCATTTTTTAAAATGTGTTTTAAGATGAAACTGTTGAGCAGTATCTGTTTAATATCTTCCTTGCTACAGATAATAGCTTTAGTAGGAACTTGAGGCATGCAAAGAACGCAATATATAACCCTCACTCATTCTGCTCACTCAGCTTGTTTTAACCAGCTAAAGAAATACAATAAGACAGTCTTCTTGAGACTAAAACTATTAGTACCCATGAAAACCTTCCAAGTGTGCAAAAGTGGAGAAATGTGCGAAGTTTTCAATGGAAAACTAAAACATGAGCAGTTTTGGTTTATTTTTAGTCATTTAATTAACATTTAATTTTTTGATTAACAACTAAGGGGGCATTAAGGTTTTTTCTTGTAAAAATGGTAATTTACATTTACAAAATATTAAAATATTTTCCTATAATATTTATTAAGAAAAAAGAGCTGCTTTCCTCTTTTTTTTTTAATTCTGACAAAAAAGTTGACTTCTTTTACTTAGGAGAATATCCCTGATTTGCAAGGAGGAAAAAACATAACTTGACCAGCATATACTTCTTTAGTAACTTGAGCTGCTGCTATTCAAAAGACAGAATGTCTGAAGTTGGTGACAGAACAGAAAAATTAATTATTCCCAAAATACTGGAATGTCAGAAAATACAGTCCTCCATGGGAAAGTGCCAGATTGTTAAATCTTTAAAATTTGATTCTCATGAAAATGGAGGGATGGGTATAATGAATATCTGCCTGAATTTTCCTAAATTTTGTGATGTTTTCTTGAATGCTTTCAGACACCCAAATCATACCTCTTCGAGTGTATGAACAGCTGTAGCATTTAAAGGCTAATGTGAGCCAGAATAGCTGTTATTAGAAGAGTATCGCCCAGAGAGGTGAACATGCACATGAACACGTTCTCCCATGAACAAAGGCATATATGCATACGCATCTATAATTGCATGCATGTACCTGAGCACATGAGTGTGTGCAGCTTATACATTCTTTGTAATTATTTAATTCTAATATGTATATATGTTTAATAAAACAAATCAATATATATTACCTATATAGCAGACTTTGAATGCTAATTTGCACATGTTCATGCTATTTGCAATCTACTGGGCTTATTTTCCCCCACGTTAGCAGGAACGTTATACCCATAATATCCTGATTTTTTTTCTAGAATAATCTCTTGCTTTTCACAGCCTGGTTCAGAATAAGTGACTTGTCAGTGGCTGTGATCCGCGGTGTATTGTCAGATTTCTGTCATGCCCTTGGCCCCACAAGTACTTCCTACTGGGAGGAGCCCACTGACTAGAAAGTGTTTACAGGATGTAAGTGATTAATATTATTAAGTGACCTTGTTGGCCCAGAGAAATGCATTTCTGTTTTCAACTCAGTGGCATTTCTGCATTTGTCAGTAACTCGCCAACTGATCAACAATTTTAATTCTAAAATTTCAACAGGCATCAAGAGGGAGACAGCCAGGCAGCTGGAAGAGCCCCACTGCTCACTGCCTCTTGTTGTGCAGGCAGAGAATTCATCCTCACACATCTTTTTCCAGTCCCTGTAGACGACAGACATAGATCCCATTAAACGCAGGCTTAACGTATTGCTCTCTCTCAGTTGGTATATAGTTTAGCAGGGAAACCTTTCAGAAGCCACGCACTGGTGGTGTTTATACTAAGCCAGAACCGAACCAGGGAAGCTCTAGGTCAGCCGCTAGCCCATACCAGAGCCAGTTACGACAATTCGGAGCCCAAGGGCCAAGGGGAAGAGTCTCACAGAGGTCACCACTGGGAAGGGGTGAAAATCAGAGGTGTGTATAAGGGAGGGTTGGAGCACTAGAAGGGGCATCAGAAGCAGGACAGAGGAGAGATGGTTTGACCTGAAGGAATGAGGATGAGGTTTATGCAGGAATGGAGTATTATAAGTAAGTGAGAAGATCCTGTGCTTAGCACAGGCACCATATGGATGGCAGTACAGGGAGCTGAAAAAGGATTGGGTGAAGTACCTGCAAGGGAGGTGTATCCTAGTAGCAACACTTTGGCTGGCGTGAAATGAGAGGCAACAAGTCATTCTTTTGAGGAGTCGGCTGAAGAGCAATGAAGAAATTCAGGAAGAAACTGAATGAGGGAGAGGGGAGGAATAAAGAAGGTCCGCTAAACACATGGGCATAAGGCAGAGAAGATGATAGAAAAATAAAAACCAGCACAGAAGTAGTAAGATGTTCAGAAGCCAAGTTGTGAAGCAGAAAAGAATCAAAGCAATTCATTATGACCCATCTAAATTTTACTTAAATTTGCCTTCTCTTCAAGCAGAAAAGTAAGAGGGTAGCTTCCCCTGCTTGGTAAACCCACGTAAAGATCTGCTGTTGGGTGCATCCTTGGCAAGTTGCTAGGGGCCTTGTCCCTGTTCCTCTAAAAAAAACCCACAGCAGCCAATCATGCTGGGCAGGACCAGAGCTTGGGTCTGAAGGACAGTGGCCATACATCTCATCTGTGCCAAAGTCTCGGGCAGGCCTGTGGAGTTAGAAACCAGCTGATTTTGGAGGAAAATCCTTAAGCAAATTTTCCAGTGGTGCAAGTCAAAGGAGGTTTGCACTGAATAGGGTAGGAACTTACCTTTTGTGCCTCCTCGTGTTCCTATGTGTCTGTAGGAGGCAATTATTGAATATGCTGCTGTCTCTTTGGATAAATGTCCCAGGCTAGCAAGGAAGTTTTCAAGTCTCTAGTAATGACCGTGCTTTTAAGTAGAAGTATTAATTTACTGAAAATCAAATTCCAGCTTACCTTAAGATAATTTAAATAATGGTGGCCAAAAAAAATCAGTAATAAATGAAATTTGTGTCAAAATTTGTGTCAACTGAAACATTTGTTAATGTCATTTTGCCAGATTGTTTCAGTTGGTAAAACATCCGTCACAATCAGGAAATAAAAAAACCTACATGTTTCATCTTACCATTTTCAAAGGGTTGTTCTTACTCAACAGTAAGAACACTAACAACGTTTCAGGACCTCAGAATCAAAATTACTCTTCCCCCCCTTAGACCAAGTGAAACATTTTGTTCAGTGAAACATTGGAGGTTTTTTACTTTTCATGCTCACAAACAGTTTGAAAAACAGTAATTTTAAGTTGATCAGGAGTTTACCATTTGTATATTTTCGGAACTTCAAGCAAACTGTAACGTTATTTACTTGCACATCTGTGTATTTAAAGAAGACAACACGGATAAGTCACTAAAAGATCAAAATGAGAATTAAGAGAAATAGCTTCAGATTCTTATTACACTTCCGAGTCACTGAATGCAAAAGACTAAGGCACTTCATTCTAGTAGTTTCTGTAAAAAGCAAGTGAGGTCTTTGACTGGTGTTAAGGGCTTTGCACAAAATTTTTTAAAAAGTTTGCCATACATTAATATTTAATTATTTTGAAAGTTCCTCCCCAAATTATGTAAAATGTTATGCTTTTCTGCTACAGTACTGCACTTTTCGACTCCACTTTTCTAGAACTATTGTGCTTTTTAACCTCTCTCCTAATGCTGTAAAAACTTTGCGTTTAATAATTCATCAGAAGTGTTCCTTGGAAGTCACCCCTTCAATATGCAGCTCCCTGTGTTTATTAAAGGAAGGGTGTTGACAGGCTTGAGGTGGGAACCACTTTTTTTCGTAATAACTTTGATGTCAAAAGACAGTTGTGTAACAGCAGATGGCCTTCTGGTGATAATTTCCTGCATGGCTCCTTTGGAAACACCAATCTGATTTAATTTATTTTTTATAGGAAATACCCATGAATTTTGTGGATCCCAAAGAAATTGACATCCCGAGTCATGGAACTAAAAACCGCTATAAAACAATTTTGCCAAGTAAGTGAGTTAGCCCATTGGTTTCCTACTATGACATTTAGTCCTGCTTTGAGAATATATTGCTGTGAAAATCTAGCTGTCTTTACCTTTGATCATTGTGTACCTATTGATAAGTGTGTTTATAGTCTATATAGAAAAAGCCCAAAAGCCCAGTGCTATAGGACTGGCAAATGCAGACTCTCACTGGATGCATTAGCAGGTAAACTCTTTGGCAGCATCCCAACCACGTACTGAAATGCCACCTGGGTGCATGCTGGTTTTCTCTGGAGGTCAGCTCAGGCAGATGGGTAGAGAGAGGTCTGCCATGCCTCGCAGTAGCTCCCTCAGTCTGGAGGATGAGAGAACCAAGACAACTATCTCCATCACAGCCCACACCGTCTTGCAGTCACTGAATTCCTTCCAGCTGGGTCAAGCTACTTGGGATCCTGTCCAACATTAAGTGGCCAGACTAGAAAAAACAAGTGCATCCTATCCTTTCTTGTAGTGGACTTCATATCTTTACAAGTCCTCTGGTGTTTTTTTCCTTCTCCATGCACCAACTGGCTTTGTGGAAATCTGTTTGCATTAATAAGGAAACCACTCTCACACAGTGCTGCCTCGTCGTTGCTGTAAACATGTTACTGTTTTGCTATACTGCTTCTGTATTTTCATTGGCCCAAATTCTTTATTTCTGGCCAAGTAACAATTGCTTTGTTATAATTAGAGGTGATTGAAAAACTTTTCAGTGGAATAGTTTTCCTTCAAAATACACATTTCTCTGATAATGCACCTATTTTCATAACATTTGTTGGGGGGAATAATGAGATATTCCATTTCTCTTTTATAAATAATTTTGGTTTGTGTTCAGTTTCAAAATGGGTTGCCTTGCACTAAATGGGTTGCCTTGCACTAAATATAGACATGAATAGTTGAGTTTTTATAAATTTTGACATCACCAAAGTGAAAAAGTTCAGTGATTCAAAATGTTGGAAGACACTCCCACACGAAAATGTAAACACATCCCTTTGCTTAGGTTTGGAATGAAGATTACATTTAAAATTACAGCATATCCTATCAACTAGTAATTTGTTTTCTAATCATCTCTATAATGTCCTTGTAGGCCCATGTTGTATGTTAGTCATGCAAATTCACACGCTTCAAATGACAAGATTTCTCTCAGCAAGCCCGAACGCGTTGTGATGTGTTCACATCATACAACGGCCTTGCAGTCACATTAATGAAAACTGATGGCCTTTAGCCGCGAGATTAGTCTCAGAAATGTGATACGTAGCTGGCAAAGAAACTCGTCGTGTGGAGTCCTTGCTTCCCTTCAGCCCCCAGTAAAATTTCCATTGTCCTCAAGGTAGTTTATCTCTTGCAATCAATAGCTGGGTGCGTCTGAGTGCAATCGAGGAATGTTGAGGGGAATTAAAGAAAGTAACTGAATGGAAGTTATATACCAAGTAATCAGAAAATTCAGCATCCCTTAGAGCCTGGCCCAGTGTCAACAGGATGTACACGGAGGGTGAAATCCTGACCCCTTTGACGACAGCAGGACTTTTGCCATCAGCTGCAGTGGAGCCAGGATATCGCCAAGCCTCCCTCCGCCTGACGGGCGGATTTTTGGAAGGAGTTCTCCCTTCCCATAGCACCTCACAGCCGAGCTGCCCCAGCCACCATCAGGTTCGTCTTCAGCAACACCTTGCAGATGCGATAAGTCCCATTTCACCGCAGCATGTGTTTTGAATCGGGACACGACAGCTGGGCCGTGGTTGATGCTGATGAGCTTTGAGAACCAGCATGCCTTAGTGCTTTCACCTCCAGCGAGCCGGGACGTGCCGCTAACTCCGCGGCACGTTTTCAGTCCAAGCACGCTGCCGATGTGCACCACAGCTACTCACTGACAGGCGCTTTGTAACCCTCCTTGACAGAAATCAAAAGGTCTGTTGTGTGTTAGCACCAGGCTCTTTCAAAGAAGATATTTTGAGGATTGAGGCACATGCTCATAATAAATACTCGCACGCCCCACACCCAGTCCAAGAGGGTTTGGAAATGATTTGAGCAATTAAATAGAACAGCCTTCCTGGTTTCCTGCTCAGATGATATCAACCCGCTGCTTCATACGCCCGCATCAGCTTTTCCATTCCCAGCGCTGGGTGCGTCTCCTGCATCGGGGCACCTGCGGTGACAAGTGACGTTTGAGCTGATGGATTATCTCCTAAAAATGCCCAGTCCTGCCAGCTCCGCCCTCTGCGCTGCGGAGGACGCTCTCGTTTTCTAGGAGATAATTCGGTGGCAGGGTGCATGAGGGCAGGTTCCTGAATAGATACTACCCAGCCAGACACACTCATGTGAAATAAAATGAATGCCTGATGAAAATTATTCTATATGGAAAACTATGAAGTGCAGGAAATGTTACATTTCTATGAAAGACGTTTCAGTTGCAGTATAACATAGCCAACACTCTTATGCAAACACTAGGATGCCTCTCTAAGTTTTCTAAGTGTTGTTTGCTTTATAATAATACGCTAATACAACCAACAAGGGGACAGTGTGGGATCAGAGGCAAGTGGCTAAACAGTTCCTTAAAATCACTGTTTCTCTATCCTTCCTCCCGTTTGCAACCCCACCCACTGGTCCTCTTAAACCCCACGCCGTACCTTCAGCTGCATTCCCTCTGTCATCCACCTACAGCGTTTCTCACTCCCTCTGAGCAGGTTCCCAATCCTGCACACAGATTTCCCGGCCTCTCACCGCAGTCACATCCCTGTGGCAGAACACCAGCCCTGCTGCTCCCTCCTCACCCTCTTACTCTACATCTCCACCTTTGCCTGTTTGCCTCCTGCAGCCCCCACTACATGTCCCTGCAGCAGGACCTCGGCTTCAAAGCCCTGTATCTTTCCCCTCCCTATTTCACTTTTCCACCTCAAGCCAGAAGCAGAATTCCCGTGGTGCTTCAGAGCATGCGTGGGCTCTTGCTTACAACGGAGCACGTGGCTTAACACTATTCTGTGGATGTCTCCATGTGTGCAACACATCCAGGGTACCTGGATGTCGTTCCTTACCCCTTCCTGAAGGGTACCCACAGGGCAAAAGCCTAGATGAAAACACTTGTGGTGGAACAGCAGATTCACAGCAACATGAAGGTAGAAACCACTTGGCAGGTCAGACGTACAAATCCACAAGCTGTTGCTTGAAGTGCTTGTGCTAAAACTGCCTCTTGCACTCCAGCTAAAGACAAGGGGAAAATTAAATCTAAACTGAATGAACAAAGCAATTTATTATGCAAGTTTATAGAGAGATGCTGGAAAATGGTTCTCTTGACGTCGAGAATTTTCAAGCTCCCTTGCACTGTAGTCCTGACTACAAATGATCTTGTTTGCTCCAGTCCTGCTCCCTAATGAAAGTAATAGGATCACCAGCAGGCTTTCAGAGACTAAAGAAAAAAAATCGTATTTACAAAGCAGAAGGAGAAAAGGTGTTTAATCTTAGTGGAATTCAACATGGGTTCATCACAGTTTTTTTGTATACCCATGTGAGTTGACAAAATGTGTCCTAGCGGTGGTCACCAGTATCACAACATCTATAATATTTGTAAATAGCCAGTATTATAATAATTCATCTATGTTAGGCTGCATAGTTAAAAATGTAAATGGATATTAGGCAGACCTTATTTTTAGTAGATAAGAAAGAGGTACTTTGCATGAATGAAACTTTATTTTGTAATGCTGAAGCATGTTTTAAAATTCAGAAGCACTCACCGTGATAAATCTGTTAAATTTTCCATTGAGAAATCCTAGATTACATTGGAAGTGCCATGAAATTATTCAGCTGAGATTAAAAAATTATGCATAGTTTACACGTGTTTTATACATGAGATGTTTTGAGGCAGTTGTATTATTTGCAAGTCTAATAGCCTATTCCCCACCTTATTACCAAATAATGTCAGTATCATAATTCATTTATAGACTGCAAGGAAAACCAGGAAAAATAGAGGTGGATGAACTTCAAAATGTTTCACTTCAAAATGTTTCAATATCTGAAAGGTTTATGATCTTTTGGGCTGCAAGTGTGACAGCAGCCTGCTTCACAAAATTTTTGTCTTCCTTTCCTGCTCAAAAAACAGAAATACCTTAAGGACAGCCCTTCTCACAGTATTTCAGTCCTACTGTTGGTAAGGCAACTAGGTTTGGACTAGCAGTAACAAATGACTTATCTTGGAAATGCTACAAATGCGAACATGCCCATGCCCTAAAGTATTCAGAACATGGTAGAAGTCAAAATAGAAGAAGAAAGAACGACCACAGCACATCATACCCACCGCACAACGAATACAGCCTTTGCAACGGGACAAAGCCTGGGTCTTCATGACAAAGTGGTGTTCATGGAGTGGATGAGCCTCCAGTATCGAAGGCAGCGGGGGAGGCTGTCCAGTGGTGCCACCATATAGCCCAGCTTGTTCCCTGCACCAGGCAGTCTCATGGGAGCAAGCTACAGCCCCTTTAACACCCTCCTGTTCCTCCAGCCTGGTAAATTCAGGCCAGTATCAATTTTTTAAAGATGGAGTTAAAGGAAGCCTCTTCTTTAGGGAAGAATGGGAGAGCTATTCCAGACTTCCTAGATACAGGGAAGAAACCAGCAGTAATTTTGCCTCAGTCAAAATTGTAGGAGACATTTTTTATTGGTAATTATACATGCTTAACAGCTCTGCTGTGTTTCAAGATGCTTTACAAACATTGATGAATTCAGCCTTGCAGCGACCACCTGTGTCTTTCTGCTCTAGCTTCAGACTCTCAGACTTTGCCATCCTTGAGGAAAAGATTATTACCTCCAAGGTATTTGTTATTCAGGAGGAAGCAAATTACTTCCATTTGTGTCTGATGATTGCTTAGTGGCTCTGGACTGTCAGTGGCACTCAGGTTTTCCTCATTTCAGAGCTGAGTTTATAGCACTTACCTATTTCATAACTGATCAGGACTGTTAATTTATAAAAGATTCCCGTTCGGAAGCAGTGTTTGTTTTGTTGATTGGAGTTGGAAGGAGGTCTCAGAAATTCTGAAACTGATGTAGCTGCTCCTTAGTAACAGGGATTTATCTCAAGACATGGTAATTAAACTGGATGTTGAGTCTGCTTGGAAGAGGTTGTGTAAGGTAGGGGTCAAGCTGCACCAGGATCAGAGGCATTGTGTGAGCTGGAGGAAGCCGGTATTTTTCCAAGGCCACGCAGCCTGAGGCATTTCTGGAAATGGCTAATAACCACTCTGTGCTGAAAAGGAATGAGAGGTTTCCTGCCCTCATATTGTTAAGGGGGAAAAAAAATCCTCTAAGTGAAAAAGTTGGGAAAGCTAGTACAGAGAGATTTTAACACATGCTAACTAGAGTTCATGTTGTGCTATTAACACAGAGGATGAAAATTCCATGCCCAGATTTTGAGCTGGAACTCATGCATTTACTTGCACATTTTAAGAAACATACTTTCAAAACACCAGCCTGGGTCCTGCAAAGGCTCCATTCCTGTCCAAGATGCTCCTGTGACCTCCAGTGGGAAAAGGACATAAAGTATGTCTGGGATCATCCATACTCTTCCTTTGATTTGCAAAGGTTTTATCTTGCTCTTAGGAACAGGAAGAAAAGTCACAAAAGAAATCCAAAAGCAGCTCTGAAGATACCAATTTTTGCTACAGCATTTGTACATCTATTGTATGTTTCCTGTGCAAACGGCAGGGCCACGTAATAAATACTGTTTTCTTACCACTCTCCAGTTCAGCATCCACATAGGTCTAATGCCTAGATTGCACTCAGCAAAGCAGCTATCCAGAGACTATTTCCAAACCAATAGGTGTCTGTATACTGTCAAAAAGCTCCTGATTCTATTGATTATTTAAGCAAACTGCCAGAATAAAATATTATTTTTTCAGTACAGAAATATTTCCATATCATTTTGTTAACAGTAGGATATTTTTTCAGAAAGGGTGTGAAGAAAGTCAAAGTGTGCCCCTAGACAGCCACAACACAAGCACCTCACTCCCCTTCTCCTTATCCCTTTCTGTTATGCTGTGTAATTGAATATTTACTGGATTTCATTACAAAAAGGTAATACATGTGGGATCACATCATCACAAATGAGCAAGCAAAAACTTCCTTTGCAGGAGGGATGTAGTACTGTACTCAGCAGAACTGGCCCCCCCTCCTTTCTAGATCATCCAAGACAGTGAAGGAAAGAAGAGTGTGAAGAAAAATGTTCCTGTGTTTTGGCGTTTTGCCTCCAGTCTAGTACACACGAATGGTCACAAATTGTGTCAGACGAGAACACAGGACTGAGCGGAAGGATATAGATTACCTAGTCCAGCCCCTTACAGTGAGCTTAAATTGGTATAAAAACACATAGTTGATTTCACCCCAGGCAGAGGGAGCTTTTCTTAATTTAAATCCAACTGTAGTCACTGGAACAGTACCGCTTCAGGCAAAGGTATCAATCGAAAGGACTTGGTGTAATTATCTAGCATCATACAGTGATACGACACAGGTTTCAGAGACAGTCTGGGCAGGTCAGCTTGATACTCAACACAGGCAGACTAGACTTTGCTGAACATTGCCTGCACCTGATAGTGTTGCTCCAATGCCCACAGCTTGCTGAGATACTTCTACGCAGCCCAGCATTGTGCGGTATAGGTGTACCTTCGTTACACATGAGGATCCTTTGCAGATGGAAGAATTTGATGCATAATGCTTTAGTGCTTAACAACCCCAAATTACAGTAGATTATTTTCTTCAACAAGTCTCTGATTCTCTATAGAAATCTTCTAATTATGAGTTTTCTTTTCAATTTCCATCTTCCTTGTGCTCTTAGATCCACTAAGCAGAGTGTATTTGAAACCAAAAAATCCATCTGACTCCTTGAGTACCTACATAAATGCTAACTACATTAGGGTAAGTAAATGTACACTCTTCATGTGCTTTTGCGACAATATTTGATTTTCCACGTAACTAGCTGATTTTGCCAAGGTGCCACTCATTTTATTCCTACCCATCTTCATTGATAATTCCTAATTTTTTGTCTACATTGGTGTGATAGAAACAGTTTCATGACCTGTTTTTAACAAATGGTTGCAGTAAGAAAACAATTTATCAACTAGTTTATAAAAAACATTAAGAAACATATGCACTACTATTTGTTTACTTCAGTATTTACCATTTAATATTGTCCTACTGCCTTATAGTAAGGAAAACAGGGTTACCTTTTAAGTGACAGAGATACTGGTATGTTGGTAAAGAGAAGATCAGAGTCAACTGCAATATAAGCTGTATGGTTGCTCATTGCAGTCATGTTATCCACAAAGAAGTTCAGCGGTGATGGTTTTTTTTCATGCATAACTATATTAATATGGATAACTATATTAATTGATAGCCTTGAAATCATCAGTTAAGTAATTAAATACTGTAACAAGTTTGTGAAAAGGAGCATAAACAGATGTGTTAAATATACACGTGTGCACCAGCACACATACTCGTTCACATTTTATACCCTATATTGAATTGTTACATGATACAAAGACTTTACCAGCATGAACCCTGTTGGAAAGCATTATTTCCAAGTGTCAGCTATGTTATAATCCTCGATCACACACACACACAGAGCCTTCTTGAACTCATGGCACAGTGTATGCTGAATAGACTACTAAGAAACTACCTCAGTCATGTTTCAGGAGTGTAGTCCTGAAACATGCAGTCCACTACCTGCAAAATTAAATGTTTTGTTAAGAATTATGTACCAGATCCTCAGCTGGAATAAATGTAATAGCGTAACTGAAATTTGGCCCCAGCGCTCTACAATGATGTTGCTGATATAAATAACAGTACATGAATATGCCCCATGCCCTTTACCCTGCCTCACTTCACATCCTGTACTTTCAGTGCTTTGTGTGAAAGACATCATCATGTAACTAAGCAGAGCAGTTCTCTTTGGAGAGCAACTCTTCCATCAGCCAGGCCATGTTTTGAGTCCTCTGAGGTCTCCCTTTTCCCCATGACACCATCCTTCAGGCCAACATATGGTGATTTCTGCTGCTGCTAACACCAGTTGAACTGTCAACAACTGCAGAAAAAATACAACCCCACGATGAAATTAAATGTCACATCCATGTATGCAATATCAGTTGGATTTCTGGGATCTTGACAGACCTGTCTCAGACAAATTATGTTCAGGCAGATTGGTGAGTAGAAGGGGGACTGTTTATACCAGCTGAAGGTCTATCCCACTGGTTCATGCAATGAATAACAGCTGTCAGGGAGAAAGGCACCCAAAAGGAAGACTCATGGCTAGAGGCTCCTGCGCCACCTCCAGCCATTCTCCATTCACTCATCCCCTTCAGACATTGCCAGGCTCTCCTGATCTGCATTACTGTTGGGCACCCTGTCACTGCACAAACTCACGAGTTCTCCTTCTCATCTGAAAAATAAGAAGGCAATCTTTTGTTTTTCCCATTTCTTCTTGCCTTTCCCTTTCCTCTGCTTCCCCACTGTTTGCCTTTCTTTGACCTCCTATACACTTGTGCGTCTCGTGACTCTCTATAGCGATATGCTGTCCCTCCTATACAGTCTCAAAGGTGCTTCTCTCTTAGCAAAGATGCATAGCACAGTCTTTGACTCCACAAGCATTCCTGTATTTTAAATCTTTTCTCCTGTCATGAACCTTTGTAGAAACCAGTTTTATAGTTTTCATTTTTTTCTGTGGCTTGTTGACTGTAAACTCTCTTGTAAACACTGCAGCAATATAAATAATGGATTAAAGTACCACTGGAGGATGGAAAGCCCTAACAACTTGGAGAACAGAGTAAGCTAGAAGAAGCCAAGTAAGCAGGGAAATTTGAAAGGGATGGATGTATTCTCAGGACCATTTCAGTCCATCAAGTCAGTAATTTCCGGAGGAAAAACTGTTCTACTGAAAAATTTCAGATCTGCTCTACTCTCAGTCATACCTGCTTTCAAATAACTTTTTTTTTTTAATTCAGATTCATTTTTTTGCTCTTCTAGAACCTGCAATTTTGGTCAACCGCATGAATTTAAAGTACATGTTTTTGTGTCTGTTTCTGAACCAGGGATATGGAGGTAAAGAGAAGGCTTTCATTGCAACTCAGGGACCCATGATTAATACCGTGAATGATTTCTGGCAGATGGTTTGGCAAGAAGACAGCCCTGTCATTGTTATGATCACAAAGCTGAAAGAAAAAAATGAGGTATGAAAACTAGCCAAACTGAGAAATTATTCCTATAGCTGCATACTGTAGAAAGAACGTTAGCAGATATGGTAGGAAGCTAGCAGATAACTGGCTCTCAAATACTCTGGTAATGGGCAATGTGAAAAGTAATACTGGAGTAGCCAAATACACTAACTGCAATTGCGTATCAGTCATAAGAGATATATTTAAAAAAGACAAAAAGGAATTCCATTTTCTAGATCTGTGCTGTTGGTTTCATAATTTTTTAAGAAACATCTCATTTATCTGTTGGCCACCTCTGTACTTCTTGTTACTTTCTGGTATATACAGAATGGATGGTTAGTGTTATGATTAGAGGTTTCCTGACATAGTTGAAGTTTGCACTTTTCTATAATGGCAGGTTTTGAATCCATTCCAGGTATTACAAATCTTCTGGAGCATCCCAGAAACACAGTTTGGACTCTCAAATGCGAATATCATGGAGGGACTTAGCCAGAATGGAAATACATGGCTCTTTACCTTAGTACCAAGTGAGATGACAATTGCGTTTTAATTGCTAACGGCTATCTAATGGTCTGCTATGCATTCTGTGACTTTTGGATCAATTCCCAACTACATCTGTAGTAGCTTTATTTAGTATTCATGTAAATTGTTGCCAGGCTTTCCTTGATAGTGCCACAGTCTGTATTTGTGACTGCCAGTCTTCAGGAATGAAAATCACTCTCCCATGCAGAGGGCTAACACAAAGCTCTGTTCTGGAAGACTGAATGTAAAAGTGATTTACATGTCTGGTGGACAAGACAGAGACAGACATAAAGGAGTTTGACTTTTTTCTTGAGTTCAAACTGCTAGACTTGGTTAGCAATTCCCAACGCCAGCTACGTGCCTCAACCAAGTCTCAGCACATTGCCAGGTAAGCACCTGGGCCATATTGGCCCTGCTTCACTCACACCCCTGCTCTTCAAACTCGGATTGATGTGATGATAGAGAAACAGTTTATTCAGGGAAAGTTCCCAGTCTGACTGATCAAGGGACCAAGATCCTGAGTGCATTCCCAGGGCACAAACTCACTGCTCATTTAAATGTGGGCTCAGTAGGCATATTCTTCTTTTTCCTGCCCTTGACCACTGCTTGGCTCTTTGTCACCGTGAGTTTGGACTTCTAACATGAACTTAAAATCCGGAGGATTTTAAGAAAGTGGTATGTAAAAAGTAGGTTGGTTCTGTAAAATATCCCAAGTCGTATTTCCAAACCAGCTGCCGTTTTGCACTAGACTGTTCAAACAAGTGTCCAGAAGCCTACATTAAAAAGATTACTCCTGAAAACGTGGAAAACTTACCCCAGCCTAACTGGCCAAAAGAATAAGAATTTCACTGAGGAAATGCTGACTGTTTAAACACTCACATCTGACACTGTGTAAGAAGAATGACTTGAAAGAAGTGCCCAGTGGTTTCCATTGTGTCAGGAAGCCCTGTGTTTACCTGAGTTACGCAGGCTCTAGGCACTGGTGTTTATCCGCATTGTTGTGGCCTGGCAGTGGTAATTTCCTCCTAATAGAAAGGGTGGGGAATCTCAAATCGTTCCCAGGCTATATAGAGAGACTGTGTTTGCACAGGTTGTCCTGCCCTGTCTAGAACTCTCCCACCATTAGCAGGTTCCTCCTGAAACCTTGCTTGCTATTGAAAAGAAAACAGCTTAGCTAGTGGCTAATGCTCAGCATATTAACTTCATTCTTAAAGTATTTTCTTTCTGTAGAGAAGGCAAGAACAGATGTTATTTAGCATAATAGCATTTGATATTTTTTCTTCTTTGTGGTCTGCTTCATTTCCATCATTTCCATCATTTCCATCACCTTCATTGCAGAGGAAGGTACCTCTGCAGTATACACACATACAAATACCTTCATAGCCACATCCACCCCTGCACAAATAAACCCTCATACCCGCCTCTCAGGTATAAGCCCCATTCCTCAGCTGGTATAACATCAGTCAGCCTCCATTTGAGCTATAATGTACTATACAGTAATGTACAATGAGGGAGCTCTTAAATGAGAGACACATAAAAAACCTTAATCTCAACAATAAATTAATTTACTTAGCATAAGTAAAATTATTTGGGACATCAGTGTCCTAGTGCAATATCCTGATGTGATGAATTTTCAATAACAATGGGAATTGTGTGAAATTATGATAAAAAAAGGTTTCTATAGAGTTACTTCCTTCCATGATATGAAAAAATGTTTAAGACTCGCCGTGGTAACAATTTTTGTAAGACAGATGAAGATATAATATGGAAGTAGAGTGCTGAGTAAAATACTCATTTCAGCTGTATGAAGAAAATGCAGAGAATTAAATTATTGGATTTTCTTTCTTTTTCATTTTGAAGTCTGATTAAAAAAAGGAGATTGATTTGTAAGCAACAATAATGCTGAAGAAACTATAAGCGCTGTGATTATGTCAAGCAGAATCTGTAAAACCTGTCCTCAAAACTACACAATGTCTGAACAGATTGGAAATCTACCCGTGCAAGGAGAGTCCACAGCAAAGGAGCTTCTGCCTGAATAAATAACGAGCAATTTGGAATTCTAGGCTGTAATTTCAGGGTTAATATGAGTTAAGACACATTGCATCTAGTGATCTAGGTAGCCTCTCTGGTCATTGAAGAGCAGTAGTCACCTCCATCCCACTATAAGAGAATGAGATAAATCACCCACTGAAGGTGACCATCTCTAATTCTGTAGTAATATTTTAGGACACAATATTACAAAGCTTTATCCACAAGGCACACATAGACTTTAATATATTACTGACTTTAGTCAAGATAGCTAAGCAATGGAAATTAGACAAATATGTGGAGTGTAAGAATTTTATGGACTTCTACATAATTTTATAGAGAAGCTTATAGACTCCTGTTGCATCAGTTGTTTTTTGTAGTTATGCTATGTACTCCATAGATAATACACATTTAGTTTGCCTTCAGAACTTACTAGCAACATTACCTGTTAACCAGGAAACATATTTTGGGAAGCATAAAGAAAGAATACTGTGCAGCATTCTGTAAGAAGAAAGCACTAGTACTGACAGTTGCATTAAACAATGCATGTTTATTCAACTCAGATAATGTAAATCTTGTTGTCGGTAATTATCTAGGACAATCTTGTTAACTCACTGTTTAAAGCTCATATTATTTTTCATGTAACAGTTTTTCCCTCAGTTGGTCTATAGGCACGCTTATCTACGCATAGCAAAGTAGATTCTGGAATTAGGAAATCCTACCTTTGGCAGAATTCACATAAGCCTCTTTTGAAGATTACTTTTTAGTTAAGTTGAGTATTGGCACCATAGATACGTCTTAGGTTTTTGAAAAATTTAAGAAGATTTGGTCCTAACTTTGAGGATTTAAATATATGAAGGTAAATCCTGTAAGCCCTCTTAAAGTATACCTCTCATGCTTGAGTTAGTAGTGACAGTAAATAGAGGGCAGGCGTAAAAAGGGATTCTGGAACTGAAGCTTTGTTGCAATTATTCATTACTGCTGTGTGTTGGCCTGGTTATTGGGACGTTTAATGTGTAAATTTGGTGGCATAGCTGTATGGAAAAATAAACAAGAAGTGGAGCTGAAGTAAAGCAACTTCACAAATATTTCAGAATCGATAAACTAATTTTGTTCAGGGTCCAAATCCAGGGAAAGTAAAGCAGGTAAGTAACACGTCAGCTGAGAGATGCGCGCTCCATTCAGCAGCACTGGGGGACCAGGCTGCAATAGCAGCACCTCTGGCTAGTTAAAAATCCTGTGCTCCTGAGCACGGACCGACCACAGCAAATAGCAGGTGCCAGCCCCAGTCCGAGGCAGGGCCAGATCCTACTCAGTTACGGAGACCCACCTGAGGAGAGGTCCCATGGAGCCTGGCACCCAGCGGGCATGGGATGGGCCGTGCAAGGAGGCAGGACAGGGGATGGAGGGAGCCTCAGCCTGCAGCCCTCTCGCGGGGGGAAGGACAAAGGCCGAAATCAGTTAAAGGTCATGCGAGATACTGTTTCTTGTATAAACTTCCTGTTCAGGGCAGGGTATGTTTGTTTGTTTTTTTGTTTTTTAAAAAAAAAGGGTCAGGCACCAGATCAGAACTAAATAATCATTTATTAGCAAAAAGCTAACCAATGGAAATGAATCAGAGGTGACAATTTGAAAGATGGCAGGAAGATGAGATTTTCCACATAAAAGTAAGAAGATTCCAGGTTTTTGGCTGCTGTGCAAGTTGGGTAGGATTTCTCTTTTTTTTTTTTTTTTTTTTTTTTTTTTGAGCTTAAGTGTGTTTTAAAAAATCCTGCTCATAGCTGTTATATGTTTGCTAACTACATAGAGGATTCTATGTTCAATCCCAAGCTCACAAAATATGTGACCTATTTAGAAAAAGCTGTAATAGATGAACATGCTGAAAGGGAAACTACGCAGCCTGAAAGAACAGCAAGGAGCAGAATCAGGACCAGCACAAAGGGTGGGGGTGGAGGGCTACAACAACAAGTGAATTCTTCCTTTTCTCCGTTATAGACTCTAGGCAATAAGCTTTTGCTAATTACAGACATGAGGCTAGAGAACACCCTTCTTAACCACTGTGTTTGGCCTTTGAACAGGTTTAAAATATGCCTACTTGAGACCAGTGGAATTTTCTCTCAGGTTCAGGCAATGGCTTGAGGCTTTTACTCTTTTTTGCTGATGCTTCTGGGATTTTCTATATTATTTTTTGTATGTCTGATTTGTGACGATTTCAAAAACATGCTAATTCCCCCAAATATCTGTCATCTTAGAAGTGCCTGAACCAACGGATCCCAGCTCTTTTTTCAAAGCTATTTGTTAAAGAAGTAACAAACGGTATTTTAAAAAGATGCACGGAGACTGTGTTAAAAATAAGCCATTGTATCTCACTAAATGTAGACGGACTGTTAAATGAAAGTTATTTTAATGAACAGCCCCATTTCATTGTCCACCCAGCGCAAGTTGCCAATTCCAGTTCTGGGAAAGAGTCAAGAAAAACACTCTTCTGGAGTGCCTGAAGGCTTTGTAGTGAGCGTCGCATGCTCGCATTTATCAAGAAGTCTCAGGGGTTGACTCAACTATTGTTGATTGTCAGGGTACAATTGTGTATTTAGACTTTTCTTTTTCCCATATTAGCACTGAAAACTACACTCCCAGGGAGGGGCATGAATTGCAGATCTGGCAGATGATAGTAGCTATATGTGTCACATGGGGGGGGACTGTAGAACTTGCGAACACTTTTTTTCATACAAATTTCTGCGTATTTTATTGCCATTCTTGATGTCTTCGGGGAGACAACAAATTTAGGATGTTCGAGTAATTCTGCAAAAGACAGGATTTGAATGAAACCAGTCAGATTGGCCAGCATTATTTCAGAAAATGTGGCTTTCACACACCTTACACTATTAAGGTAATGAGAATCTATTTTTGGAAAAGTATTTATACAGCAGAGATGATTCGGTTCAATCAGCTACCGGGTTATCAAATAGAGTAGCAGGTTAAAGATCACACCTGGCGGTAAAGCCTTGCACTTCATTTTAGCAGGATTTACTGGGAGTTATGATTTATGGCAATTCATTATATTAAAGGGATTGTTTCATTTTGCTGCGTAATGCAAGCTACTGTCTAAATATATACCAGTGTCTTCAGCAAAAGTTTGTGAGGAAATACAAGGTCTTTCTGGGATTCCTATTATTGTAGAACTGTCTGTTCTCTCGGTGGTTTTTTTACCTGTGCATTGGATATTAAAGCAAGTTTTTCTTTAATTGTTGGGGTTGTTTTTGATTTAATGAACAAGTCAGATTGGTCAGCATTATTTCAGAAAATGTGGCTTTCAAACACCTTACACTCCTAAGGTAATAAGCATCTTTTTTAAGAGAAGTATTTACACAACAGGGATGTTTGCTTTCAGGTAGACTACAGAGATACTTTAATGGAAATGAATATGAAGTTGCAGTTGACTTGAAGATAAGCAAACTATTGCAGGGGGAAAATAAAATGATTCATATTGTAAATACTATTTCTTCATCTCCTTTTCAGTAAATGCTTGTCAGATACATAGCTGAAATAGTATAACACTACTGATTAATTCAGAATTCTGTATATAATTTTCTGTAGCTCTAGCAAGACTGATGAATTTTTTTAACATTCATTTCCAGTAAGTTTTATAGTAGACAACTCAGATATTGCAAAATACTTCAATATGCACATTAAGTCCCATTGCATTCAGTAAGATCTAAGGGCACATTCACATGGTTTGTTGTGTCAGGGCTCAGGAAAGTAAAGAGGATAAAAAGTCTTGTAAGGAAAGGACAAATTTTGAATCTCTTGCTCAGAAGGAAATCCCATTTGGAAAGAGTAAACTTTATAAATTTAATTTTATGAATTAAAGAATGTTCTAGGGAAAAAAAATTAAATTTGAATGTGGAAAATAATTCCTTTAACTGAACTTCATTGAACTTTTAAGAATAAAAATAGCTGTTCAAAGTCTTCAGTGATAGAGATCCATATTTGAAAAACTCAGATCCTGAAAATCAGGCCTAAGTCATTCATTAATAACCCTGCAATATCTCATTTAGGAACCTGCAATATCTTATTTAGGAATGCCTCTGACATGAATAACATCTCAGTTGAATTCATCTGAACTTTCCAGACAAATATTAGCTAATTACATATGAATATGGCTCCAGGATCCAGTTTGTTGACGACACTGATGCTTGTTTCCAGAAATGCGTGCTCTATTGGCCAGAAAAGAGAGGAATCTATGGGAAGGTTGAAGTCCTTGTTAACAGTGTGCAAGAATGTGAAAACTACACTGTCCGTCAGCTTACAATAAAGGTAACAATCTGCATCTAAGAAGCATTGTTCCTAATGCTTTATCGTTTTAATGTTAAATGAAGTTAAACTGTTTTTTTTTAAAGGGCATGAATTTTTACAGGAGTAACTGAGCTATGAAGCTCAAAGCTGCAAGGTATGATTGAGACCAAAGCGCTGGAACACTTATCGTATTGCTGCTTTGTGTCACTCTGGCAATAAAAAAGGCTTGAAAAAGAGTGCAAGTTTCACTCTCTTGAATTACATTTGCTCTGAGGCCTTTTTAGCATTGCCAAGGCAATGTAAAGGGATTTTAGTTAATGAAAGAACTAGCTTAGTATCATTCTGAAAAAGATACGCAGCTCATGCTGTGTGCCGAGTGCATCTATAGCCCATTTGAGAAGCTAAAAATATAAGGAGTATATAAGGAAAGCTTCATATTTTCATGGTTCTGACTAAACATTAACTATGCAAAATAAGGCAGATGCTCCTCTGCTAAGCTACTCCCCACATTACACTCACATGCTATCAGATTGCATCATCTGCTGCTCCTGACAGAGCATTGCAATAAATAGTGAATCGGGAAAATTTGTTTGGTGTTTCATCCCAGGCAGTGGGAAGTGGGCAGAAGTCATATTGTCCAACACAAATTACTCTCACCCATATTTAGCCCCTTTGCTTGTTGAAGTAAGTGGTAGCAGCCTCTGTTGGAGAGGATAACTGGACAAACTGGGATGTTTGATTATTCTAGAAGGGCAGTTCTTCTGCACCTTTAACTTAAACACTTTTGTCATTTTAGTATCAGACCCTTATCATAACGTACAGATTCAGAAGCCCAGATCAAGATAACCTCTCCAGATCTTATTGCTGGACTAACACAGATCTCTGACAATTCCCAATGGACTACACAGTCAGCAAGTCAGTAGTCAGATGGACAGCACAGAACTTACATAGCTGGAAAACCAGCAAGTTTTCAGGTGCACAAACCCTTCTTACAACTGTGTCCCTGGAAGCACGCCTGTTCCCTGCAATTGCATCCTCTGAGTCTAATAAAAAAGAATTGTTAAATCTCTCTTAACATTTTTATTGCCTTTTTACCATAACATTGAGAGAAATAAAAAGAATTGTTCACCACAAGCGTGCATATAAAATCTTCATGTTATTTTCAGCAAGGGAGTCAGTCTCGGAGTGTGAAACACTACTGGTACACGTCCTGGCCGGACCACAAAACCCCCGACAGCGCTCAGCCTCTGCTGCAGCTCATGCTGGACGTGGAGGAGGACAGGGTGGAATCACCTGGCAGAGGACCTGTCATCGTGCACTGCAGGTAATTTGCAATCCTTCTCTTAAATGTCTGCCCAAAGCAAGGACACAGCGAATCACACCAAACGGTCCTCCTCCTAAACAAAGAACGTATTTGGGGAAGAGTAAAATTCCCCAGATCCTCTTCATGCTAATTGACTTTTTCCATTCATAGTTGAGGATTTAGGTCTTGGAGAGAATTCCCTTGTTGCTAGCAAATCGTTTCTGAACTGTTCTCCATTTCTGCTAATGAACTCTGGTTTTGAAAGACCAGCTGGAAAAGTTATTTTGCTTCTGTTTCTTATTCATGATTTGCGTTCTTTTTATTCTTGTTTCATAATTACATACCTAAGTCAGATGCAGTGCCTTGTGACTGGTTGGCTAAAATGTTGTAAAGCAAGTCAATTTTGAACAGCAGGCATCAGGTACAAATTTGGAGACCAAAACACATCTGTATTAAAATTTGTGAATACTTTCACAATGGCAGTTGGTCTGATACTCAAGAGCAAAGTATTACTCAGCACTCAAGAGCAGTGTTATTCACACAAATTGTAATGAACCAGAATGTCCTTCTAATCATTCTGGTTAAATTCCATGATATTGCTGTGTGCTGATTCATTGCTCCATGTTGCAGTTTAAGCAGTAGGAAGTAGTACTGGTTTTGTTATGTTGGTGGAAAGAAATAGGTGAAGCAAAACGGAAAAAAAAAATTAACATCAGTGTTTCCTTACTTGCTTTGTCTCGTAACTGTGAAGATACATCTCTTACAGTTGGGATAGTACTTTTTTTTTCCTAGAAGTACATCAAAAACAGAACTTCTCGTCTTGAAACACTTCTTTTCAACTCCATATTTACAAGATTTAGAGAAATGGAAGACAGATTTGAACCACCTATCATTTTTCAAAACCAGAATGTGATGAATAAGGAACTTTCCCAAATTTTATGCAGCTGTTTTTATCAGGAATTGTAGTTTCCCTAAACGATCCACAAATCTGTGCATGGCTATTGAGAGTCCCATTTTTCCAGTAAGGATCTTCAGTAATTAAGGTCTTCAGAATGAGGTGTCTTTCTGAGGTGACATGACAACAAGGTCTGTAATTATGAGCAGGAATTTATTCATGATTAAAGACCCAGATATCATCTCAGTTGTTATTAAAATTAATAGGCCTTCAGTGACAATTCAGCTATCTATACACTCCCTACACTATGGTCTACAAAGTGGGTAAACTCATTCACACTCCATTTTCTAGTCAGATAGTTTAATCTGAGTTGCAGTTGAGGTCATCCAGGTCTTATAGAGTCTGTGCACACTTTTTAACTTGGACCTCAGATACAACAGCAAAGTCCTCCGTTATTTCCAGAGGAACAGTACAGTGCACACTCAAACAACGTTCCTTAATCTGAAGCAGAAATACTTCAATAATTTCTTAATATGACATGAGTGGGAAAAAAAAGTAATTAGTTTTTTTGTACATGTCTTCTTGTAGCCTATCATCAGCATAAGGTGCTGTCTTGCACACATCAGTGATGAGCCCATTCAGGACTCGGGGTATAGGAAGGACTTTACTTCTTCTAGCGAAGTAGTTCCTATTCTGCAAAAGTATAGGGAAAAGAGTAAAGTTTCCCTTTTGTCCTTAAAATCAGCAGATCTGATTACACACATGCCAAGGACACAGATTTCCAGAGGAAGAAAGTTTTAAGTTCTTACCAATCTTTATACTGGCATTCACTGGAAAGGTATATGTTTCCTCTCTCATGTCACTCATCAAAAGCATGTGGTAAATACGGAAAATATCTCCTTAATCTATCCTTTGGACATGTAGTTAGTACATCAAAATAAGTTTGGGTTTAATGGCAACTAGGTGGTTTGGGATCAAATGCAAGTTTTAATTGAGAGATTTCAAATATAGAGGGGAAAGATTTTTCTCTTTAAATTGAATCAATAAGGAAGAACTAGAACACGGAATAATATTCTGCAAATGTAAAACTAATTTAGCCCCATTTAGTCAGCGAAACCAAGTTGACCAAGAATCTGGACCACAATGCTATTTTCTACTTCCCAGAAGAACCAGTAATTTGGCATATTGGAGGACTTGTAAGAGTTTCTTAAAAGAGAATAAAGGATAAAATTTTCATGCTCAGAAACTTGACACTGTTATAGTTATTACTGGAAATTTTTCCTTTTCTTTCCTCATCAGCTAGTGCATGAATATGTTCTATAAAAAGCATACCGCCTGCATCTCTTAATCCCAAAATCATAACAGTCCAATATTCCACGCTCCCAATTAGCACACCACAGTGGTTACAAATAAGCTACTACACATTGAACTCCTAGAAAAAAGGAGAAAATAGAAATATATATAACAGGAATATACATACACACCATGTTTGGGTGCTTAAAAATACTTCAGAGTAAGGAGCTCTCCATATTGTCTGGATATACCAGCAAAGAAATGTCAGGCCAGAGAAGAACAATGCCATTTTTATCTTACCCTGCCTGAAATAAAGCTGTGTAATAGGATAGGACCAGCATGCCTGAGCTGAGGAAGAAAACCCTAGTCTTTGTTTAATACATATTAAGAACTTGTCCAAGAACACTTAATCCACCCAAAAAAAGGGAAAAAAGGAACTCTTCGTTATAGCCAACTTCACTTACATCTGAATTGTTTAAACTTGTTAGCCCCACTTTCAAGGTTTCAAAAATATTCGAGGAGGAGATGGGGATATGTGTTAACATACATGCTTTCTCCAAATCCCTCTTTATAAACTATGTCCTTTCCCTTTTGGATACATTTATCCCATAGATATTGATGTCCAAGGAGACAGGCTGTCAACTCAGGCTCTTCATCTCACTTGATCCTTTCTTACGCTGCCAGTTTTACATCTCATTATCCCCTCACGGCTGGCTTAGACATCCTTATATATTTAATATTGCTGAGTCCTCTTGGAAATTTTCTCTTCCAGATGGGAGGGCTCTTGATTCTCTAAAGCACTCCTATCTTTCATTCTGTGGTGAGTAGATTGTCATTTGTTTCGGCTGTAGCAAATGGACATACTTCTGGTAACACTTTGCACTCAGATATATCAAGCTTCCATCTGAGAGACTCAGCGTATTCTTCCTGGCATTAATTTAAATAGCTCTTGCAGTCCTCTTATGAGGCAGGTAGCATTCACACCCATTGCAGAGATGAAGAAAGCAAAGCACCAAACGGTTAAGTATTTACTGTAAAGCCAGGCATCTGGACCCCCTGACTCCATGTTTTAACTATTTTCCTCACATTTTCCTGCCACGCAGCATGACAGGGATGAGCTGCACGGAATTCCACATTACCTAAGCGAGACACAGAGTGGGGCAGAGATTCTCAAAAGTGATGGAGACCCAGGGAGTAAAAGTAATGCCAAAATGGCTGTTTCCAAGGAGGCATAAAGAAAACCTGAAGAGTTACAGCACCAAATCCTTCTCCCTCCTGCAGAATCACAGGAAAGGGGGTTAACTTTGACAGCGTGGTTCTAGGTCCTTTTTACCTTCACAGTTAGTGGTACGGTTAGCAGAACCCCTGTACATTTTGAGGGCTTCAAACATAAAGCCCCACTGACTTTTGTCTTTCGGTGAGCTTTTGCCCCAGCTCAGTGCATATCTCCATCATTTGCTTGGACTGTACCAGAGAATATTTAGACTTTGTGGTGCTAATGGAGGTTGTTTTTCTTACTACACACTTGTGTGCAAACTGGAAATGTGTAAGCCTCACAAATTACCCACAACAACTGGACCCTTTTCTAAGAAAGTGAGCTGAGAAGTTACCCTTGCTAGTTATGCACCCAGGAACTGTGGGTTCTAGCAATTCCATGGTTTGTATTTTTAGTGTTTTCATATCTCTTCAGTGTTTCCCACTTAACTCCTTTGATCTGTGAACTCCATTCCCCTATTAAATTTTGCCTTCTTTTCAGTGCTGGTATAGGAAGAACTGGATGTTTTATTGCCACCGCCATTGGTTGTCAGCAGTTGAAGGAAGAGGGAGTTGTAGATGCGTTGAGCATTGTCTGTCAGCTACGAGTGGATCGGTGAGTTCCAGAAGAACCATAAATCGGTCAATGATTCTGAAAATCAGTCAATTCTGAAATGATTCTGAAATCATTACTGAAATGACTCAGTAATGATCAGTAATGATTCAGTAATGATTCTGAAAAATTTTTCACAGTTGAATGTTGCTTTACATGAAGTGGCTGCCATCACTTTTGCTGACTGTTATGACAACCTTAGCTGAATATTCAAAGTAACATTTATATTTAGATCCTGTGTAAGGAATATTGTTTTCTGGGTGAAACTGGGTGAGCCTCCACTGAATGAAATTCCCCTGAGATGGCAACCCTGCGGTTGCTGGGCACTTGGCACTCCTCTTTTCCCCTCCTGGAGCTTTCCGCTGTCTGCGGCATCCCACTAGGACACAAGAGACACGGGCCAATCTGGAGGCAAGGGATTGTCTTTGAGCCTGGATTGACAGGGAAATCCAGGCTCACTCACTGTGTAGCTGCTTTATGCAGTGGAGAGAGGCAAATCTGGTGCTGTTGCTATTCCCTCAGCTGTGCTGGGGGTCCTTTTGAATTGGGTTGGCAACTTTACCCAGCTTAAGAGAATAGCAAGGCATTTGTGGGGAATTTTCTTAAGTCAGATCAATTCCCTGACTGAACTCACAGCTTGGGAGCAGGAACACTGTAAGCCAGCATTGTTGCAGAGTGCTTTGTTTTGTGAAACCATGGCCGAAGAGAGATTTGTGTTGGAAAGGAGGATGTGGGTATTGTGCACAATGGAAGCTGCTGGTTTGGTTGTACTTTTCTTTCTTATTCTGCTTGGGGAAACAGGATTTTGTATAAAGTAAACAGAGTTGCACCAAGAATAGAGAAGTCTCGTTCCTCTCCTGTTGTAGGTATCAGATCGTATAATTTCCCTGCAAGTGTATTAACTGCTTCTGACATATATTTCTTTAAATGGAAACAACACATAAGGGTGCAAACGCTGAAAAAGAGCTCAGGTCAAAGGGACAATATGGGATTTTTGTGTTCAGAAGAACTCATAAAGGTACTGGAAGCACGAATTGCAGAAGGACCATGTAGCTGACCGTGCTTATGGATCACATCCTCTGCCTTCCCCTCCCATGCGCCTTCATCATACTAGAGATTGTAATGTGATCCTTACAGGGCAACATGAGCCACTTGGAGTGTAAAATTCTCCAAGGGGAGTTCCTGACCTAAAAATCTCAGCAACAAAAAAGATGGAAGAGCTGAGGGAAAAATGCTTACTCTGTTTTAAATTATCAACTCCAAATTTCCAACACTCCGTTCTGATTATCTGTTCATCTTATTGAAAAAGGTTTGTAGTGCTCTCCCCCATTTTAGTGTTTCTATTATAAGATAACCTTTTTCTTATTGCTTTTACACTCCACTGTTGAGAAGTGGAAGCAAACTCTGGTCTCCGCTACATAATTTTTAATGTCATTATTTCAGCCATAGAAAAAATAATCCAAATTTTCAACATTATAACTGACAACACAATTTCATCAAGTGTATCTGACTAATGAACTTTCTTATATGTATTAGTAGCCTAGAATAATTTGGAAAGAGAATGAAAATCTGACCCAAATATAAACATTCATAGCAGCAATCTCAGTGACACAAAGTTTGCTATAAAAATTGTTAAGTCTTGTGATTTGCATGTTTCTGTATTTTTTTGAGTTTCAGATTATATAAATAGACTCCAGAGATCTTGCTTAAGGTGCCTCAGCTCTTCATATTCTCAGGCATTACCTGAGACAAAAAGTGTATCTGCGTTTTAATTTTTAAAGACATCGCTCTGAGCAAAAATCAGTAACCAAAAACTGTTTTTCTTTCCTTTTTCCAATTTGCCATATTGCAGAATGGATCTCACACTTGGCAGTCAGTTTATAGCAAGGATTTCTAAGGCAGAGCTTAACATCCCCAAAGACTACAGTAGCCACTGCCAGCCCAAACACATTGCAGGTTCATTAAGTGGACAAGCATCATTGATACATGGACAAAGTTCCATGAGACCAGCTTCCCCTGATGACCCAGTCATGACGTGGTGTTATTGGCAGGTGGCTTGTGAGACAGGGTCATTACATGTGGCATGAAGCTGGCAACATGTACTTAACATCCCACTAGACATGGCGGCAAGAGCTGGCTCTGGCCGTAGCTGTGTTGCACTTCAGTCACCAACGTTGGCCAACATTAGCAATGGCGTACAACGAGGAGCAGAGCAGGAACAGAGATGAGGCTGTCTTCTTCATGATGCTGGCCAGCAGCCGAGCTCCAGTTTATTCTTTGTACATCAGATTGCCCTCTCAAAACAGAAAAAAAAGAGTTCATCAGAAAAGGATGGTTTTATCTGACCACCTAGGAGCCAGAAACCTGCCCAAGAGGTACACTGAATCACTTCATTGCTGATACCTCATCTCCACTAGGATCCCAGACAGGCTTGCTCATGCTTAGAGATGCACCATCCAGATGGTATCCATTTGTGAGTGTACTTCTTGTCACATGGGTCCATGGCCAAAGTGAATCGAGCAATAGGAGAAAAGAAAAAAACTGTGCTTGAGGGACTCACAGTGATGCTGTAGTGATTTACCAAGACATTCTCATTGCCCAGCACACTCAGTGAGAACCAAAAAAGCATCCAGACAAATTGCAGATGGTGGCAAAAAGTTATGCTGAAAAATAGTTTGATTAACTGCCTGTGTAGACAGTCGGGAAACAGAGTTTAAAATAGAGGTCCAACAGGGAATGAGACAGGAGAGCACTGTTCCCAGGTAAGGTATGTCCAGATGCCACTTTCTTCTTGGCTGTTCAGTGTAAGTTTACAGGTGAACTGATCTGGCAGTAATCATCTGTGCTGAGCTAACATGAGGAAATGGACCATCCACTCAAAAATCTTGACCCAGGGATGGAGATATAGCCATGCTCGGTGTGGATTCATAGAAAGACAGACCCACAGGTCTGCACAGCTTACTTCTTTTCCCAGTGCATTTTTTATGTTTTGCAACAGAAACAGGAAATGTTTGATGTGAGGCATCTTCAAGACTTACTGTGATATCGAGAAACTTTGCACATTCTTAACCTCAAAGGCACATTCTTGGAATGACGTCCAATAACTTTGCTCTTGGCTCCTCAGACAGGATGAAAAGAGTTTCCAGTGTGCGTCAATTCATTGTTTAAGTGTTTTGACTAATTGCTTCAGGTTAAAAAAAAACCCCAAACCCTGCATCACATTCATTCTGGAGCAGACTGCATCCAGCTGTACTAGCAGCAAGCCAGAGGGCAGGATAAATGGCCCTTCCCTCCCCCATGGCTGCCCAGGCAGAGCTGGTCACAGTCCCCAAGCCCTCAGGCTCCCAGGAGCTTTTTCTTCAAAGCACCACCCCAGAGTCCCAAAGCATCAGAGAGCCCAGCAGCTCACAGAGGAGCTGGCAGTGTCAGCTGGCAGAGGACGAAGGCTGCAACCCCGGAGGTGCCATAGCTGTGGGTACATCCCTTCTGGGAACTAGGGATGCAGGAGAGGAAACCTCCCTCCTTGAGCAGATTTCCTCCTGAAACACTTTTCTATGCAGCTTTTTGCACAAACTTTAGGTCACAGATAATTCCTTGCTATTAAATGTGAGCTTTGCACAAGAACAAAGGGGAGAAGGACTTGGGGATTAGCGGTAGATGAAAAATAGGACATGAGCCAGCAATGGGCACTTGCAGCCCAGAAGGCCAACCATATCCTGAGCTGTGTCAAAAGAAACATGGTCGAGGGAGGTGATTCTGCCCCTCTACTCCGCTCTGGTGAGACCCCACCTGGAGTCCTGCATCCAGCTCTGGAGCCCTCAGCACAGAAAGGACATGGACCTGTTGGATTGGGTCCAGAAGAGGGCCACAAAAATGATCAGAGGGATGGAAGACCTCTCCTGTGGGGACAAGCTGAGAGAGTTGGGGTTGTTCAGCCTGGAGAAGAGAAGACTCCAGGGAGACCTTACTGAAGCCTTTCAATATATAAAAAGGACTTGTAAGAAAGATGGAGAAAGCCTTTTTACCAGAGCCTTTAGTGACAGGACAAGTGGTAATGGTTTTAAGCTAAAAGAGGGTAGATTTAAATTAGACATAAGGAAGAAATTTTTTACCAGGAGGGTGGTGAGACACTGCAACAGGTTGTCAAAAGAAGTTGTGGATGGGCCATCCCTGGAAACATTCAAAGTCAGGTTGGATGTGGGTCTGAGCAGCCTGATCTAGTGAAAGATGTCCCTGCTCATTGCAGGGGGTTTGGACTAGATGACCTTTAAAGGCCCCTTCCACCCCAAACCATTCTGTGATGCTGTGGTTCGATGGTTCCCGTGTATAATAGCACTGACAAGGCCAAGTTGTCTGAACCTCTGTATAACTCAGGTGCCCCTAAGCTGACAGGGACATGCACTCGTTTGCCCATACAAGGTGCAGAAGCATCATAACATCTGGGTTATGCTTGCTAGCCCAGGGAAATGCGGTAGGGCTGGGCTCAGCCCCCACCAGGCTTATACAAGCCTTCTTGGGGGTTTTGTATGTTACTTCAGCACTGAAGAGGAAGGAGCAAGGATCATCCCCACGAAACAGCCTAATGCAGCCAAATTTGTTTTAACCTGCCCCCCTTGCCAAGTTCTTCTCCCTGGATATGTTCCCTTCCTTCACCCCTTCCACACAGCAGATCTAACCTGGGAAATGCACTCCCTTAGAGCACATCTTGGGGGAACATCGATGGGGAGATGGGGAGGGAAGTTGGCTGGGAAGGGGTTGCGTGGGCAGGGCAGGACGCAGCAGTGAGGAGGAAGGAAGGAGGCTAAGCAGCACAGAGGAGCAGAGCAAAGCCCTCCCGTCTCTTTTAGACTCTCGCTGGATCTCCAGGCAGGGGACAGGCACAGAGGAGAGCAGGTGAAGGCAGCAGGCAGCCAAGAGTTATGAATTTGTGGATGTCTTTGTTGGCAAAGCTAAGAGGCTGCTGCATTTTGCACCGGATAGGACCATTTCAGGGCCTGTGATTTAATTCCTAACATATCATAATAGACATGCAGCTCACTAAAAGGTGTTTTAGAGTTGCCTGAGCTTACTGGAGGAGCAGAGACAGCTGGTTGCTTCCTTAAAGAAGTAGGTATCATTTTAATTACGTTTTTCCTGCCACGGCCGTTTAATCATCCAGTAGCACCGAGGAAAATAAAAGGACCTTATAGTTGTAGATAACATTCTCCAATACTAAAGGGCAATACTTGTTGAGGCAGTTTTACCATTTTTCAGATAGCTTTATATATCAGTAGACCCTGTTGTTGTTAGGGTGTCTGAAGGGATCACATGGGGGGTTGTCAGAACTTCTCCTGTAAGATGCCTGGCTTCAACATTGCTCTGCCAATACCTCACGAATTTGATTGTTTCAGTGAAGATCTAGCTGAAGCCAAATACAACACACGTCTTCCTTCCCACTATGGCCATTTACTCTTTCATCCCCGCAAAGGGATTGAATCAGCAGCATCCCTCAGCTGCTCCTGTTGGTACCTCAGGGTACACTGAGGATGAACTGGGGGCTTGGTTCTAGAAGCAGAGTAGCTAGCTTTGAATATGCTGGCAGATGAGGTAATACAAGTGGAATTAAATAAACTTGAAGCTTCACTCCATGAGAAGTGAAACCTGGAAGATCTTAGTACTGTCAGAAAGGGCTCAGTTTAATTTCAGAGTAGAATGGTACCACTCATTAAATACCACACCCACCTCCTGTAGGACATCATCCCCTTCCTACCACACTGCAGTTGGCACTGGAGATCATAGAATCATAGAATCTTTTGGTTGAATGTGGGACTTGATCCTCATGCTTAGACCTGAAAAAGGGATTGTTATCAGGTGAATGTATTAAATGTAGGCATCTAACCCAGGCTGGCTGTAACTAGTCCTTTTTATGGTCAAGTTAAACTCTTCTGTATTGTTGGTGCTGAAATGAGTCACTGCTGTAAAATTTCTTAGGTGGCTGCTGTTCAGACAGGATGCATTGTAGGCGTTAGAAAGAGGACAGGAAGAGCTGTTCTCTGCACAGGCGATCTGAGGGTCACCAAAGGTTACATATTTAGTAAAGGACAAAAATGGAAGGCCAGATTCTGAATACTCCCTTGCTCCGTCAATAGTAACGCTGCGTCCGTGTACCTGACTTCCTTGCCCAAGTGACTGAGCAAAATTCTCTACGAGCGTGTTGAATTTGAAATGTAGATGCCAGATGTTTTCCTCTCTAGCTCTTACCCTGACGGAATTGGGAATGGTGGTTCCTGCTGGGCATGTGCTGGATGGTGTAGGTTATGAAGAAAGTACTTCTGCTCAGACAGATCTCCCACTTACTCAAGCAAACTCTAAGTCAAAAATTGAGAAAAGGGCCTGTATTATCTGGTGATCATGGGGTTGGCAGAGGCTGGAGGTTGTTGCATTCTTAAGAAATAAGATTTCATTCCAATGTGTTTCCTTTTCAGGGGCGGAATGGTTCAGACCAGCGAACAGTACGAATTTGTGCACCATGCACTGAGTCTGTATGAAAGCAGACTTTCTGCAGAAGCTGTCCAGTGAAGCCAAGGAGGTTAAAACCGAATGTCAGTCTCCTGAGGTAATTTCTTTCATTACCTACCAGCAGCTTCTTCAAGGAGTTTACTGCAGTAGGAAGAGCAGCTTTGAGGCCAACTTCTGAAAGGATTGTGGACGGTTTGGCAAGAAGATAGAGATTGCTGGACCCTTACTGTGTATGAATGTATTGTGAGCTCCCCAAAAATGATTTATAAAGAAGGTACCATACTGAAACTACACATGGATTTCACATATATATCTAAAGGTGGGTTTAATTCTGTAATACTGATATCTGCCATATGGAATGTATGTATGTGCTACTGCTGCAGTCAGATGGACATTGGAACTTCCACAGAAGAAATGTTTATCAAGTGTATAAATGCTTTAACGTTTGCAAACTGTCTTGTGAATGGACTGTCAACTGTACTGTAAAGTGCTATTACTGATTATGTGGTGAGCTTGTTTCTTGGCCACATAATATTCTTGCTGCTAAAATTGCAAGTGTTCAATTATGGGTTAAAAAAAAGAAGATGAGATAATAAAAAAATTAAAAGTCTTGGTTTTGAAAATATTCAAAACAAGTTAATATTTTATATGAAAATATATGTTCTTCATACTATTAACTATTAAATGTGTATTTACTGTAGGTCTTACAGAGCAGTTGCAGAGCACAATGTCTGTTATTCAGTGTATATGTGTTTACCCTATACTGTTGACTGTCTTAGAATATGCTTCTGCTACAGACCCGAATCCAGTGTATTTGTAAATTGTGTAAGTCATTTTACTTTTAAAACAAACTTTGTAGCATATATTACATGGTAAGGATTTTAAATATTTGTCTGTCTTTTATTAATACAGGATTTTTTGCTTATGTTGTTTATCTGCTCTATCTCTTTCAGTAAGAGACAGATGCCTTTAGTGATATGAACTGTTCCACGACAGGTTATACAAGAAAGAAAATGCTGCTATGACTGTTTCCTTTACCATTCAGTAAGAGTTTGTTTTTAAGAGAAATGCAAAGTTGGCATTATGACTTACAGCACTGGGAGGTCTGTTTACAGGGTATAATGAGTTTTTAATGCAGTGATGTTGACTTTGCTTCATACTGCTAATAAATTACACTTGATATAAAATATTTACTGAAGTCTCTATTCTTGCCTAGAGTAGTTAATGCACCACACGCTCTTGTACCCCCATAAACAGGGACAGTCCAGTACAATTTGGTTAGCTTCCACCATGGCTTCAGGCCACTGGAGAGCCAATCCAGAGGACACGGGCAATCTCCCACTGACATGGAGCAAGGGCGTGGATCACCTGATGGGAAGGCAAAACCAGCATCACTTGATCCCTCGGGGGCAGTTTGTGTAAGACCCAGTGGAGACTTCAGAGCTTTGCCTCCTCCTCTGCCCCTTCTCCTCCCTCTCTCCTCTTGGCTTTTAGAACTTGTGGAGTTAGACGTATCAATATCGAGATTTTGCTTGATTACATGTAGTTACAAAAAAGTGTTTGTTCTCTGGATAATACAGTATATACTTACTCAGCACCATCCACATCACCTGCAGACTTGTAATATTTCACAGGCAACAAATTACACAAAAGGATAATCTCTTTTCTTTATACAACATCATCTCTTTTAGTTTCCTGGGTGTTTGAAAACCTCTCTCTCTTTTGCTTGCATTTTTCCAAAATAAAGCAACTAGTAAACTCTGAAGAATCATATGAAAGGACAAAGTGGTGTAAAACTCCCCAAAACAATTGAATAGAAGGAAGTGCTCGTCACTGACTTTTTCCCCCTGTGAAGGCACATTTCCTTCCTAGCCTTCGCTTCACTTATCTGAGGTGGGTTTTTTTAAGAGAAGCATGGGGAGTTGCTAGAGGGAAAATGGATTCTTTATTTCACGTCCTGGTTTCTACCTGTCTTGCCTTGACATTCTCAGGTAAGTGTCTCTCCCCACTTCCCCTCCGCCGTATAGCTCTTTCTGCTGCCGAGCAGAGCCCTCCGGGGCAGCAGGCGACTTAAAACCCGAGTCACTTCTTCGCTTGGGTTCATACAAGAGGAATGGGGGGCAGGGCCAATGTAGCCTGTTCTGTTTAGATTTCTTTCCAAAGGAAAATAAACTGTCTCCTTCTATGCTGGAGATACCTCTTCTTTTTTTTTAAGAAGATCTCCTGCTAGACAATCCAGGAGCTGAGCTTTGGGACAAGCTGTTCAAAGGGGAGATTCCTATTTTTTATTCCTGCTTTGTTAAACCTCCAGAGCCAGGAGCTTTCTGTGATGCTTAGTTAGAAAATACCCAGGTCTGTAAAAACAGGGGGATGACAAACCTCAACCAAGGGAAATAAATACACATGTTGAGTTTAGCACTTTGTAACAAATGAGGCTGGAAATTTTTGAGTAACTGAGATTATAAAAAGAGAAAAACCTAAACAAGATCTGGCAGGGAGGCTGCATTTGAAATAACCGGTTCCGTGCTCTGTAACAAGTATGGATTTTGCGTTGGTAGCTTTAGGGTTTTTTGAGGAATGTGTTATAGTTCTCTTTATTTGAGCGTTTGGTGTTGATCTTTAAGTGTGGTGGCACAAAGAGCTAATCTAACGTGAATTAGGATGGTCACAAAACTAACAGCTACAGACGTTGGAGTAAATCCAGTAAAATAGATGTACTTCCTATCAGTAAAGAGCCTCCATTCCTGTAACGGCACAGGCACTGAGAGGCACACAGATTTGGGAATGTCCTCTTATCTATTTTCTTCAGAAACACGATGAGTTTTACTAAAACAATTTCCAGGCAGTAAATTATATTGTCAAAAGACTGTGTCGTAAAATGGAAAAAAGAATGAGAGTTTCTGTAGGTGTCTGTATGCTGTCAAGCAGGGGAAGTGGGGTATTTAGAATTGGCATTTAAAGCTAATAGTTCTTGGATTTCTTTTATATCCAGTTTATTTTTTTTTTCATTTTTATATACAGTGAAGTTCAAGGTGACCTTTGCCACAATAGTTTGCTTTTTGCATTCTCACTCTTTACATTACCAGCACTTGCATCATGTGAGTTGTACATTTGGGGTTTTTTTTAATAGGTTCAACACATGAAAAGTTTATGAAAAGTTCAACATATAGAAAGTGGGAAAAGAGATTTATTTTCTGATGTCCTTTAAATCATCAAGAATTGGCTTTTTGTTAAATGTGTAATCTATTGTATTTTTCTGGAATTTTCCTCTTCCAGAAGGGTTTCTGATCATCCATGTCCAGAAACAGCAGTGTCTTTCAGAAAAGAGAGGAGTCATTATGGAAAAGTGCAATATGACCAACCTCAACCAGCAGTGGCAGTGGACGGCAGATGACAGGCTCCTCCACGTGAAATCTGCCCAGTGCCTGAGCATCTCCACACGCTCTGCCCTGTCATCTCGGAGCATCATCGTTGATTGTCCCCAGGCAGTCAGGTGGACTTGCCATGAGGAGGATGGGCTCCTGAAGGTGGCCAACAGCTCTCTCTTTCTCACAAAGCAAGGTCAGAAGGTAATGGCCAAGCAGAGTAAGAAATACCTTCATACATGGATGCAGCTAGAAGCCAGCGAGACGGGAAAACCTGTTTATGTAAATCTGTGCTCAAAGCAAGGTGAGCTACTCTTTCACGGAAGTATCCAAGAAGTTTTGGTAACAAAAATGTCTCTTTATCGCAAATGTTAAAAATTATGGTATTTTATTCATACAGAAAAACATTTTTCATAGTTGAAAAGAGTTTAGAGAACCATAAAAAGAACAGCTGAGATGAGTGCTGTCTTTCTCACAACTGGTGAAGGTTTTAAGGCATTTTATATTTGCGGGATGTCTCTCCTTTTTGCTACTTCCAATCTTTGGATGAAAGTGCTTATGTGTAAGCTCAGCTCACTATTCTTGTGTCATTTCCTTTTTCACTTCTAAACAGAATTGTGGATACTAAGTCCTAACACATTTTTAAAAATATGGATGTATAAAAATCCTTCTATTCCCCATTCATTTTATCATACAAATCCATATCTGTCCAATATCAGATCATACCCAAATCCATATCAATCTGTCCAGAGCAAGAAGACATCTGAAAATCAAACGCACACACAATTGTTTCTCTGATTAACCCAATGCATGATTAGACATACACGGCTTACACGTTCACTTGTTTACACAGTGTCACTTTGCCCTCAGATATGATATATATGAGAACACTCAAAATCCCCAAATTAATGAACTGAATCAAAAATCTCAGGAATCCTTGTGATAGTACTTTGAGATGCATGGGTCTGTGCACATCTTTATAGATGTGTTGATACACCTATGTGGTTTTATGTTTCCATATCCATAGCAAAAGGGAAGATAGAACAGTTTGAATACTGTTTAATAACACTTTCCTTGATGTCCTGTAAATCCTCCCTGACAATCCTGTTGACATTCTTCTGGCGCACTATTGAGCAGTTCTTCCTGGTAAACGAGAACAACCTGCAGAGTTAAGCTTTTTATTGGGTAACACACAATTTATTCTTTTCCTTACAGGATTAAAAAAGCATGGTTTATGCTTTGCATACAGCCAAGTTTTCAGCATGTTTAAAACAAATCCTTGTTCTTTCTAACCTTTCTAACCTCCCACTCGTTGAAAGGCACGGTACCATTTTTCCCAGCAAATTTGCACTTGCAGACCTCTACTCACAGCAGCAGGACTACTCAACTGAGTGGAGTTCTGAAAGCACAGCATGCAGAATCAGGGAATGGAAAACTGGTCAAGATGCCATTCCAGCCCTCCCATATATATTTTAGAGATTGAAAAGACAAAATCAGTTAAGCCCTGTGTATAGGGTGAATATGGCTTGCTTAGTCAAATACACCATGAAAAGTTAAGATGGGTACACAGGCAGTGTTCTGTTCTTTAGACAGCTGGATGAAGCGTGGCCTAACAGAGTTAAAGTAACCTTACTTTACTTTATCCTTTTCTTAATCATCCTCAGAGGAGAGGCAATTTAAGACCAATGAGTTCTGAGTAAGACAATTGTCATGGGGTATTGAAGTACCTTCTCACCTAGTTACTGTGCTCAGACCTTTAACGAATTTACCTTCATTTTCCTGAAATTCCCTCCACAGACAGGCTTGTAGATATACTTTAAGAGTCTCATTGTGTCAGTTATCTCCTTTTTGACAGTTCTGGGAAGCTCTGTTGAGAAATAAACAGTACACTATGATCCTCAATACCTAACTAAGAATTCCAGGTACATAAGGAACTCATAAAGAGTTGAAGTAGTGCAAAGAGATTAATTTTTTCAAATGACAATAATAGTAATAATAAGTAGTACAAGAACAAAATCTAATGCCCACAGTGCTGGTCTTGACATTCATATGCATGTCAAAATTTTCAATGTTGAATGCGTAAAATTAGTCTTCCAAGAACATCTGTCTACTTTCAGTGAAAGCAGCAGTGGATCAGCCTAAAATAACATATTCAGTCTATATTTAGCTAAGATAGTAAAAGCTGAGAAAAGTCTTTGGAGCTGAAATGGCTGTAAGTTTTTCTACTTCTGACTAACACCATATTTTGATATAATTTACCCTTTGTTTTCATAGTACTCATAAAAATAGTTACATTTTGGCAAAGGAGTACCTCACTGAATTGCATCCCAAACATCTTATCAGCCCAGATATAGTACAAGCTCCAAACCCAACAACTGCAACCACCTTTTATTCTAGACCTAACTCAAATGCCAAGCATAATTTTTCTGAGCCTGGGGAAAGTCTGAGCTTGGATTTGGATTTCAAATCAGCCATCTGAGATGTGCTTGGATATACATTTTTTGCTATAATCCTGACCTAAATGACTCTCTGTGGAAATCAGGATCAGTTTAAATATGTATCCCATGTCTGTTCAGTCAGAGATCACGTTAAATCTAACAGCAGACAGTCCTTCTCACACAAACCGTGGTTGAATCTGGCCTCCGGCTGAAACAGCTAACATGAAGAAGGGCCATGAGATATCAATCTCCCTTGAGATGGTGAGACTTCAGATCTCATCAAATTCATGAGGAGATTCTGGGCAGAGAGGAATAGTCTCTATAGCGCTAAGGCCTTATTTTCACTAGCCAGCTGTTGGGGTCAGAGCTTCTCTAAGCCCAGGA